AGTCATAGTTCAGATAAAAATTGCAATGTACTTTCAAGTTTCTCTTAACTCTTAAAAATCAGAGAAATCATGTATAGAGCATTGAAAAGCAACACTATAAATTAAAACTACAAAATAAACTAACAAATTAAATAAAAAAATTGTTTTCCAGGCGCTTTTCAATTACCAAAACTGTGAAGATACATTTATGAAAATTTATAAAGCAGATTTAATCTGCTTTATAAATCTCGAGGAATGGACTTTTTTGATTTTTTTAAGACATTTTGGAAAAATCACTTTAATTGCTCGATAGTTATAGTATTAAAAGTTTCCATTTACCTAACTTAGCCAAAGTCATGGTTCACATAAACATTACAATCGTAACGTCAGGTCTTATTTCACATCGTTTCCAGCGTTAGCCCAGTGGCAGAGATACATCAGCTCCGTTGTATCGAGAAATCGGCAAAAGGCATCGGCGATAGCGGTTCTTTGGGATCAATACGTCAAGCACAACGCGCGCAATGGTCTTGCTTGTGAATGGCCCGTTACACCCTCTCTCGTCTGCTATGAATCATTTAAGGTTCACCCTATATATCCGTTCCCCATTCAGCGCGCTATTGTGTTTACGCGCGTGTACCGTGCTCGAATCCGTGCGCAACACGCTCGTCCTTTTCGGGATCGACGGGAAATCTCACGTTTGCCCCGTTTTTGTTCTCGATTTTTCGTTTTGCGTGGCGGCAACAGTTTCTCGGAAACCTTGTGTAGCTCTTCGAGCTACTGTTTAACGCTTTGACTGCCACGTCAGCCGAATTCGTGTAACACTATATTTTACATAATGTTAAAAATTAATTTTCTTGGTGGCATACGAATTTGTTTGGATATACAAGATATAAAGATAATAAAATTATCGCTGTAAAGAATCTTCAATTTTTAGTTAGTGCTATTAAGAATAATTTTTCTATGATTTTTATTAGAGGACCAAATTGCTCTCACTTCTGCAAGAGTGCTAAAAATGACTTACTTTCTTAACACATATTACATTCAATTAATTTGTTTTTCTTTTACTTTCGACTTTTGGTTGTTTTCTTAGGTACCTTATGTTCACATTACGGTAAAATTACATTTAAATGGTCGTAACCTGTCCGCGCGGAAGACTCGTGGTGTATGCTCATGTTTTGTCGTGGTGTATTAATAAATATTAAAATGTTACATTTTTCGTACTTCTCTATCATACCATCTAGTCAGCTTCTAAGTAATTTTTAGATTATTTCTACCGTGTGCTGGCAACGCGGATTTTGTTCACAAAATATACCAAATAACTATCACTCGAATGGGTTGTGTACGGTAGATCAAATTATATGTTTTATGTTTTTGTAAATAATTTATTCTCACATGACATTGAGTGCTCAGTACAGTTAGTAGTCCTTATGTTCTTCGCCATGTTAGGACATTATTTTCTTGGACAAACTCCTTATTTACGTCCTTGACACCTCCTCTACAGAATACATAAAAACAAGTATGTAAGTATTGTTGAAATATAAAATGTATTGTAATGACAATTAATTAGACATGATTTTACCCGGCATCTCCCTCCGACTGGAGCATTACAGCTGCAGGAGATCTGAGAATACATATTGTTTCATTTCATTGACATTCGTTGTGTATTATAATATTTGACAGTGGATTATACTTACTGCATCTGATGTTAGGAAGAACGACGACACTAAAACAAAAGAAATGAACAAGAGTGAGTAACGGATACTGCCCAACATGTTTCTTCTCCTGAAGTTCTAGCTGCTGTTCAATATTCCCAACTGCTTGACAAATGCTTGTACCATCGTTTTTTATATATTTTTTCTAATCTAGTTTGTAGCACATTTATGGAAGTTTATAAACTTTAATGCTCGAAAAAAACATTTTACGAGAGGTGCGTGACTATAAAGATAACTGATTGTGATTAGCATATTGCAAAATTATCAATTTTGATATTAAAAAGGTTTTTATACCTACGCGATCCTACAATGCTCTTGAAAATAACGTTGTTAGTTTATGTTGGTTAACGTTCTTATTTTAAACGATGAAACCTTATAATGTACTTGTTGTACGCATTATACTTCATATCCTGTAAGGTTATATGTTGATAACTTGTTTTAAGAAATATCGTCGCATTATGCAGTGTCTGTTGTTGCAATCGTGTATAGTTTTAAGACATTGCAGCTATAGAAAGGGGTAATAATGTTACTGCCTGCTGGTAATGCTAACCCCTTCGTGATTTTTCATTAGTATAAAAACATCTAATAGTTAACGGTGTTCTTAGTTGCATGTATTAGAATTATACATACATAGGTAAACGAATTTACATTGTATAGTGCATTATTTTGGATAATGAAGAACGTAATAATATTGCGTCAGGACCAAGAGTTGTATATTGTCCGGAAGTTACGTATTTCTCGCAAATTATGTAAGTTAAACAATCGTGCGTTGGAATGTATTTTATCAAAGGTTTATAGCAATCGATATTCAATAAAGCAATTTTATATGTACTAATCTAATTATGAATATAAAGTACATTATGTGAAAAGAGAATATTGTAAAATCTTTGTAGATAAATACAGAAATTTGTTTTGTTTGTTTACTTCTAATCTTAATATTTAAGATTAAAAGCATATTAGTATTTAACTTTATTTCATAAAAATTCCGAAAATGGTTTACTTACTTCGTAACACGTATTACATTTAATTAAATTGTTTTCATTTTACTTTCACCTCTTGTTACGATTACTTAATCGTAGTTATTTTTCTTACTTATTTTATTAATCTTACTTATTTTTCCGACACTTTCTGTAAAAATTTAAAGAAATTTATGTTACAAATAAAATTTTAGAGGAAAATATAAAATGGGAAAGGGTGGGGATTCCCACCTTTTCTCTAATAATTAATAATTCGATATCAGAGTTATTACGTTAATAAATATTCTTATGCAATATTAATTTTCCTGTCGTAATTATTTTCAAGCAATTTAGAAGCTTCGGCCATCGACGGCCACCATGGCAGTCAACGTTTTAAAAAATCACGTTTCAACGGTATGGAAGATTTGACGAGCATTTATTTGACCGTCAACGTGATCAAATGAACTGTTACTAAATTTCATCGAATTATGCTGAATCAGTGCGTGGAGAAATGAACCGTTGCGATAAGATTCCCGAAGAAGAACGCGATGGCAGTGTTAAAATAAAAATTAATCCTTCTTTTTTACTTGAGTTTTTTAAAGTGGTCACATCAACAGTAAAGTAACTAGTGACCACCAACATTTGCATACATTACTTAATAATGCTTATTACAAAATGATTTATTGTATAATAATATACTAGTTGTATGGATAATAATACAATATTAACAGAATATGTATAGTTTAATTATAATGAATGTAGAAAATTTATTTCTCTGAAAAACTTATGCACGTTCTGGATACTGTTGGGATCATTTAGGTTCGTCTTCATATCAGATTTAACCCTTTGCACTCGTATGTGATGCTGGAGAAGACAATACAAATTCGTTATACTTTATTTGTAGTACTTTAAAAAGTATTACACTTTAAAAGAATATAAAAATTAAATCTTATTATAATAGTAGTAAATAAAATATAAAATCTTGAATTCTACGGCTGTAAATTACTTTAAATCATTTCTCTAAAAACAAAAACAAGTTTACACCCAACAACATTGAAAATAAATCGAATGCAAAGGGTTAATATTACAGGTGTTTGTTTTACAGGAGTAACAGGGGCAGTTTATTAGAATATATTTGTCGAGTCACGAAAGGCCTGAAGTTTCACGCGACGCGCACAATTTTAACAGCGTGTTGCATTCATCAACGCATCTCTTTGCGAATGCACAGATTCAGCTGTTTCATATTTATTTAACTGATTTGCATTGATGTGCCGCTTCCGTGTTTTCCATTTGTCTTTTGTTATTCGTCTGGGAATTGTTTCCTCGTTCCTCGTTGTTGTGCATTTAATGCATCTCATGCATTGCTGTACTTTTGTGCACATTAAACGCGTCATTTATGGGCGCATTAAACGCGTCATTAAACTTCTGTTTGGAATTCTTGTCTTACATAGGATGTCGCATCGTGTTGTTTTCGGATTACGGTGATAATTTACTAATCAAATGTAATGAGAAATATACAAATCTGTATTGCATGGTTGAACACTGCTATTTAATCCCTTGTCCTATGATTTATTTCATGATTGTGCTTGATAAAGCTGTTCTATCGTGAATAATTTAGTAACAAAAGAAAATAATTTTATGCTTATTTTGTGTCTACGTTTACTCTAAAGTTTGCAGATTGATAATAGATAAGTAATATTTTATCTGTATGAAAAATAAATAAATAACAGTTAAATTTGTTGAATTCGACTGAAAATTTTCATCACGAGTCTGTTTCGATATTACAGAAGAAGGGATTAATAATATTATTTACAGATCGTGTTATATTCAGGTATATACAATATCCTTTATCATGCTATTTTTCGCGATCTAAATTGTTTGGAGACTCAGTTAACCCTTTCGTCTCGAATGGTACACTAGGTATCACGAACATTTTAAATTACCGGAAATCTAGAAAACGTCTTAACCCCTTGCCTCACAACAACATGTCAAACTCGTGGTGAAGATTTTAAAGAGAACTTAACAAGCATAAATATTACTCAACTCTTTTGAATTCAAATTAAACATTATTCTTCTGTTATCAATAATTATACTTTCGAATAAACATGGGCATAGAATATACCTAGAAAATTTTTCTTGTTATAATAAATTATTACTGGCAAAGTAGTTGTATCGATTATAGTTGAGAAATAAATCGTAAGGCAAGGACTTACAGATAAAGAAAAATTGTACCAGACGGGGATCTTTGCTTATGCCTGACAGCTTAAATGCTAATTAACTGTACATGTATTTTGGTTGATTAGTGTGCAGCCATAAGTTTTTTTCACAAAATTCATATTCAAAAAAATACATATTTTGGAACGAAAGGGTTAGATTGGAACTCAATAATTTGAATCCTTATATTGTATCCTGGAATATATACGATCGAATTTTGCAAATAGATTTTCAAAGATTTCTTCCCAAATCTTCATTTATCTCGACTGTAAGTCGCCCAATTAAATCAGATAACCGAGATTCTACTGTACTGCTAAGCAAAAGAATCGACAAATTTACAGTTTTTTGACTTTTACATTAACATGTATTAACACGTTCACGACCACGGTCATAATGGAAATACCCTCGCTTTCATAGTCCTGTTGATACTAGCAGGCTGAGTTGGTTAGCGATTCTTAGCTGGTATCATTCACTGAAGCGAATGATTTCTTTTTTAATGGTGTTTGTTTTAAGATCTCTGTGGACGATTGCATTGAGACGTACCACGGAGCATACAACAATAACTAAATACTATATTTAGACATGGCTGTGGATTTCATAAAGTGTACGAGCAACAGTAGTAGTAAAATAAAATAGTAAAGTAAAATAAAATAAAGTAAAATAAGCCGAATTCAATGGCAGTTGGTAAATTCATGAAAATAGAATGTAACAAATGGGAGAGATTAAAATAACAAAAATTCTAGATACTACAATATTAGCATAAGTATCGCTTTGATCGTTATACTTCAGTGTAGATATGCTCAATTCGTAGGTCAAGGGGTCGAATAATTCGAAGAACGCTTCCACGAGTTGAACAACCGCGGTAGTCGAATTCTCGTGAGGACCGGATCGGTTGAATTTTTGAGGAACTTCGGTTGCTGGCGGACGCCGCGGCGTCCGGTGTAACTCGAGCGTGTCGCGCGCATTTTTTTGGCCAGGATAGCATCTTTCGCTGGGTATGTTCTATTTATGTTTCAACCGGGCCGTACGTTTTCATAAATCATGGAATGCGCCGGCGGCGGAATATTCTTGCCGCGCCGTTAACGCGCGCGTGCACCGCAACTATTACGCCCGAAACCATTGCACCGTATTGTACCAGCCGCATTCTAGCCCCCGATATCGCGAGCAGCCAACTACGCGATACATTGCTTCGATAAATCTGCGAGTGCGGCCGCGTTTCTTCGAGATATTCGAGCAACACGATCCCTTAAGGTTTCGTTGCGCGAACCGCGTTTTCCTTGGAGAATAACTCGGAAAATTCTAGCCACTGATACGGTTTGTGTCATTCGGGGTTTGGGTTTCATTGGCGATTCACGCGTGTAAGAACAACATTCTTTTTTTACTGATAACGTTTATTGCCGATCGTTGTACATACTTTATTACACTTTGTGTGAGATATGAGCTGTTGTTTATTGCTTATAACTTGGGGGTATGTGTTGGTGTGTAACCGGTGTTATTATGTTGTATTATATTGGCACTTATTCCTGTTCCCTCTTTATTATTCTGCTTTTATTTAACCATGAGGCGAATTAGTTGACGGTTTCATGGATGCTTGGGGCCAGATGTTTTAGAGTGTAGATACTCCTACGAAATATATGTTAATCATATTAAATTTGATACAATTAATTCATAATATGATGATAACTTTCATACGTTAAGTTATGATTAATAAAATAGTTACTGATTAATAATTTGAGTTATTTATAAGAAGATTAGAAGAATGACAAATTATGTTTTCGGAAGATTAGGTCAGAATTGGGTCAGAATGATTTAGATAAAGTGTTACGAGATTAATCAGCTTCTGAATAATTATTTTAAATATGTTTCTTTATGAAGACGTAGAGATTAATTTGGGTCGAATAAAAAGAAAAAAGTATAAATTGAATCAATATAGGGCCGGTAAATGTTAATTGAAAGAGGTAGAC